GCAAACTGTGTGCAACGTGGGCTGCTTGGACTAAAGGACACTTACAGGAATACCTACCTTTTCCAAACAAGTTGCCCAAGTTGTTCTTACAGCCTTCAGTAAAACAAACAGTAGATCATGTCTGGACAGCCCAGCTGCTCTCATGCCAGTAGCCTAAATGGGGCAGCAGGGGAAAACTCCAGCTCATTGCCCATCTGCCTGTAGTGCCTGTCTCATTAAGATAAGATGTATTCAGAAATTCTGAGTTGTACAAGTCCTGAGTAAGGCAGAAGACATGTAGGGGGTGAGATCTATGGTTAATACAGAGGTTCAGTCTTCAGTTTTGCCATACCGTCTGTTCTAATGACCACACTTCAATGCTATTCATGAAGCCCCTGGAATAAAGCACTAATAGCAATGTTACCTTCTCAGTGCCCAGGTCCAAAGACTTGTAGGTGCCTTAGCAGAATTCAGATAAACAAGTTATGGGCTATTACAAAAACAAGGCAACCTGCCCTGCTAAAACAGAGCCCTGCACTGTTAAAACATTCACACTCTGAAAGGAATAGCTCATTTTCTCCAGTGCTTTCTGGGCTGACGTGTGTCCATGTTTCCAGTGAAGAGAAGAACTCCCAGTTTACATTTCCTGCCTGAGGCTGAGTCGTGCTGGCTGAGGACCATGCTGAAGTACAGACTGTTTGTTAAATGTACAGTGACCAGCGAGCCTGGTTTAGCAGCCTTACCTAAAGAGAAATGCTGCCCTGTGCAATCAGGCAGAGAAAGACAAGGCCTGTGCTTGGATATTTGGGGACCGAGGCTTTGCAGGGCTGGGTCTGCTACAGAGTGGATGGAAGACTCAGTGGATTTACAAGACCACAAAGTAAAAGAAAGAAATATTATTCCACCCCATGGTGGATGTGTTTGGGGGGTTTTTTTTGCCAGGCTCCAAAGCAGCAGCAATAATTCAGCCCTTACAGAGAGATGAAAATCAGCTGTTCCTTTCCAAGGGTTCCTGGAACCAAGAATGAGACAAGCCCTGTCAGGCAGTACTGAAGGCAGCACATTATTTGTCATCATTATTTAGTAATATGCTATAAACCTATAATATGCTACAAGGCACAAGTAGGCAACCCCCGGTGCAGGTGCCAGAGTGTTGCACACAAAGGCATTTGGCTTGGCATGCCCACCTGGGGGCAGGCAACAGGGAAAGGGCCAAGGCTGCACTGCCACAACAAAGATTGGGCCCTTCACAGTTCCCTCGCCATCTGCCCTTGGCATGCCAACATCTTACAAGTCAAGGTTGCGGGTGTTTTTGGCGCTGTCCAAAACCATTGCTGACCCCTGCTATAAGGCTATATGCAACCCTCTTAAGTACTTTGGTCAATACACACAGGCATCACTTGGCATCTGGATACATCTTTCCAGCTGTGAAAGCCTGGCCCAATGTTCCCAAAGACATGGCCTCTGGGGATGTCCTGGGGTTGCATACTTATAGCAACCACTGCTGCTCACATCAGACAGCCACCTGGAAATACAATCCCCACCACCACCTGGCAGCAGATGAAGGATGCCTGCCACACCTCTGTAGTGAGGGATCTAGTCCTAGGTGCTATCTAAAGAATCTTCCCAAGCTTTGAAGGGCAGGAAATGTGGACTCAGGATACTCCAGAGCAGGGCCTCTGCCCAGCAAGGATGTCCTACAGAATCCCAAGCCAATGCCAGATGGCAGCAAGCCTTCAGAAGACCTTTACATTTATCATCATCATCACTGATGGCACAAATCCCTGTCCAATCTCCCCCACAACACTTCTACCCCCTAGAACCTCGGCATCTATCTGTGCCTAAACTGTTTTTGTGATTCTGGTTCATAGCATAATATTAAATAATGATGACAAATAATGTGCTACCTTCAGTACTGCCTGACAGGGTTTGTGGCTTTCTTGGTTTCAGGAACAGCTGATTTTCATCTCTCTGTAAGGGCTGAAATATTGCTGCTGCTTTGGAGCCTGGCAAGAAAACACCCACCGTGGGGTGGAATAATATTTCTTTTTTTTTTCACTTTGTGGTCTTGTAAATCCACTGAGTCTTCCATCCACTGTCGCAGACCCAGCCATGCAGAGCCTTGGTCCCCAGAAATCCAAGCAGAGGCCTTGCCTTTCTCTGCCTGATCCCACAGGGTGGCATTTCTCTTCTAGGTAATGCTGCTAAAACAGACTTCTAAGTTACTGTGTATTTAGCAAGTGGTGCCTACTGCAAGTCGGTCTTCAGTGAGCACAACTCAGCCCCGGGCAGGAAGTGTAAATTGGGAGGTTCTCGCTTTACTGGAAAGGTAGACACACATCAGCCTGGGAAATGGAGAAAATGAGCTCTCTCTCAAGAACAGTAATAAAAGAATATTGCATCGGTCCCAGTCATGGAACAAAACCCCATATGTGGTGCCAGGCATTATACAAACAGGGCATGTCTACACATCAATATTAATGCAACACAATAAACTCTGGCACAGTTCGCACCAGAATTTATTGCAACCAGGCGCAGCTTTTTACACTTGCACCCAGGACCACAGTATGTCAAGCCGGGGCAGCACAGCCCTGGCTGCCAGGGGGGTCCGGGGGTCAGCCTGTCAGCCCGTGGCTGCTCCTGCCTAGCTCAGCATGCTGTGGAGGGGCTGGCCAGGGCATGAGGGTGCTATAGCATGGAGTTATCTGGCAGGCAGCCCCACGCTGTAGCACCCTCATGCCCCAGCCAGCCCCAGTCACTGTCTTCATGGGCATTGCGGCAGAGTAAATAACTCCACTGTAGATTAGTACTTGTATCGGGCAGTACTGTTCTACGGCAGAGTTAATTATCTTACTCCAGTCTAACAGCGCTGCTTGTGTAGATCAGTGATGTTTTACTGCAGAGCCAATTAAGCAACTATGCAGTAAGCATCTCATGTAAATGCACCAGCATGCAACAACAGTATGGTTCCTACTAAAAAGAGCTTGTATTCTTGGAAAGCATCTTCAAACTTCATTCTGTAAGCAGAAAGGCCAGGGACATCTTTTGATTAAAAAGAAAAGCCATGCTGGGAATTTTCTCATAACCACGTGTTTCTGCAATCTGGGACTTTTTCATTAAAAACATCAAATATCATGAGATACATGTTAAAATCAAGAGGGTGAGCCACACTGCATTTTCCGCAGCCTTCGCAACACACCCTTTTCTGCCCAGTAGCAATTACAAGATGCAAACAAGACAGTGACATCTCTCTTAACTCTGTATAATAGCCAGGCTGGTCTGGCAGACCTGGGCAGCAGAAAAGATCTTGGCACTAATTTGGCAGTAATTGCTCTTACTACTTCCCTGCAATGCTCTGTTTTGAACCACAATTCCTGTTTTCTTTTCCTTCCTAGATGACCTAGACATAGATGACTTCCAGCTGGAGCTTGAGGAGTCAAAGCTGCACCCCACTGTTCAGTGCACCCCCAGCCCTGGTGAGTAGTGAGCCCAGGGGAAAACCCTTATCTACACACACACACACACACACACACACACACACACACAAGACATTCAGGCCCTGCTAAGCTGGCTGTCTACCATGCCCCCTGCCGCTGGGCTCCTGCCAGTCTCCATACACATAAATCAAAAGCCAGGCTTAGTGCTGGTCAAATGTGGACAGGAATGGACGAAGGGTTTCCTCTCTCCATGGTTGAGGTGGACCACCTGCCCTCCCTGGAAAAGAAGATCATGGTAGCCTTCTCCTCCTACTGCCCTCCATCCTTCCCAGGGGAGGACTGCATCAATTCCCATGCCCAGGAAGGCAAAGGGCAGCTGGATTTGGCTCATCACAGACTAGCATAGGAGGCTGCATGCCAGCCTACCTAGCCTGATGCCACACAAATCAGGATTCACCAAAACACCTGCATGTGTGGGTTGCTCTGCAAAGGTTGATCTGATACTAAAGATCAAGCCAAATTGTGCTGCACAGTGTGGGGACATTTTAAATTGATCCCCAGTGATAGGGCAAGGTGGGAGATGCCTATGACAGCTAGGATCATAGAAAGTTAGGGTTGGAAGGGACCTCAGGAGGTCATCTAGTCTAACCCTATGCTCAAAGCAGGACCATTCCCAATTGGATCATCCCAGCCAAAGATTTGTCTAGCCAGATTTTGAAAACCTCTATTGCAGGTCAGGCAATAGAATCCCCAGCTCTCCCAGGGTGCCGGGCAATCTCCTAAACAATGCATCAGACTGGTCATGCCTACACATCCCTATTAACACTCAGCAATGAGTTCTAGAGCAATAAGCTCTAGAGCTTACTGCTGCCAGATGCGGTAAGCTCTAGAGCTCTACTGCTGTCTACACCTGCAGCATGTTTGGCTGGGTCGCAGCAGCCTGGCTGACAGGGGGCCTGGGGAGGGTCAGCCTGCAAGCCTGGGGCTGCTCCGACCAGGCTCTGTACTGCGGAGGGGCTGGGTGGGACACAAGGGTGCTTCAGCGAGGGGCTACCCAGCAGGCTGCCCCGCAGTGAAGCACTCTTGTGCCCCAGATGCTCTGGAGTTTTAGTTTCATGCACCCTAATAGGGGTGAATGTATAGATACTGAGACATTTACTGGGCAGTTAATTGGGCAACTTCGCAGTAAATGTCTCATGTAGACACATCCATTGGCTCCCAGTTTTGTCCCTGCCACAGACTTTCTGTGCCATCTTGAGCAAATGAAGCCAAAGACTGAGAACAGTCAGCCGCCCATCTTCATGTAGCCCTGGGGTAACTGGAAAGACAGTAGCTTGTTTTCTGCCTTTTCCTTCACTGATTCAGCTGCAGAGTCTATGGGAGCCAGTGAGCTCATAGGTTGAAAGTTTCAGATTCCTGCCCATAGCCCCATGTACAGAGGTGCTGGATGTCTCTGGGGAAAGACAAAAACAAATGCAACATCATTCACAGCCCCCTTGTTGGAGAACAGGGCTTCTGCATGCCTTTGCAGCTGTTTTGAGGTGTTTGGGGGAGCATGAGGAGCTGCATATCTTCTCTTATGTCTCCCTCTCTTCTCTTACGTCTCTCATTTTATCAAGCAAATGTTAAGCATAAGGTGCATTGTGACAGCTTCAAAAGAGGGGTGGAGAAAAGATTGTGCAATGTCTCACCAACAACCTGCCACTTTGATGGCAAACAGAAGGCACCAACTCTTTCTTGGTGAGAGGGGCCAAAACGGGTGGGCAAAATAGCAGATCCAGCCAGCAATGGACTCCATTCCCCAGCAGCCCCTGCCTGCATGGCTGGGTCTGGTCTCCATGGAGACCCCAGTTGTGATAGCACAAGGCTGGGGTTGCCATGGAGATTGGCCCCAGCTGTGCTGGCAGGGTGCACGGCAGGACAGGTTGCTGCTCCAAAGCCACTGGGATCTTGAAGCTGGGGCAGCTTGGTCAGGGCCAGGGCAGAGCTATGATCTGCTACCTGCAGGCTTCGGGCAGGGGCGTGCAGGCAGCAGATTGCTGCTCTGCCCTGGCTCCTTGCAGTGGAGACAGTGTGGTCCTGAGCTGGGGCACAGCCATAATCTGCTGCCTGCACACCCTTGCCTGGAGTGTGCAGGCATCAGATCACAGCTGTTCCCTGGTCCCAGACCAAGCTGCCCCTGCCGCAAGATCCCAGTGGCTCCGGAGCAACCCCCTGCCCTGCTAGCATGGCTGGAGCTGGTCTCCATGGCAACCCCAACCTTGCGCTATTACAGTGCAGCAGCTGGGGTCTCCGTGGAGACTGGTCCCAGCCATGCAGGCAGGGGGTGCTGGGAAATGGAGTCCACTGCCAGACAGCTCTGGCCTGCGAGCCGGACTTTGTCCACCCTTGGGCTAGACCCTCAGCCTCCCGTTTCCTGGAAAGTACCTTAACCACTTAGCTAGAAGGTAGTAGGCTCTGACTGTCCCCCTACCTGCTAGCCAAGATTTTCCTTTATCTCAAATTTTGGGATTCACCCAGCTTTAACACGCATACCTGGTTGATTCTGTTTCTATTCAGCAGTTGATTGCCTAGAGCACAGCCTTACTGGGCAGGCTCAAATGGCTAGTGTGGCCACTGCTGAATCCCAGACTACGCATAAGTACTAGAAACTGTGGTTATACAGCTACGTACCTGCCAGTAAGGCACAGAAAGGGTAAACAGGATCTGGCCCTTGGTGGCCAGAACAATAAACTTGGACTCAGGAGACCTGGGTTCTCTTCCTAGTTCTGCTGTTGAGTGACTTGGGGAAGGTCACTTCCCCTGCTCTGTGCCTCAGTGACCCAATCTGTGAAGTGGGGGTAGTGACACCGACTTTCTTTCCTAAATGGCTTGTGATCTGCTGTGACAAACCATGCTATAAAAGCTGGGCATTATTATTATTAACTCATCCGTGTGAGTTACATTAGCTCAGGCACCTTTAGCAGTAGAAAGTAGTTGGTCATAGGCCTGACGATGGACCCTAACATCCTCCCAACACAAAGGCACCTCAGTGAGAGCAACTGGGTGACATTCAACCTACATGCATGCAGACACCATATCCAGGCTGCCCTCTAAGCTGTCACTGGACGCTGTAGAAGATGCTGAAGTCTCCAGACAAATTGGTTCAGTGCCACCCGAGGAAGGGGAAGGACCCAGCAGAAATACCTGTCTGAGGAGCTTGAGTTCTTTCCTTTGCACTAATGTTGTGCTTGAGTACTGGAGTGCAGACTCAGCGTTGACGGGGGGCCTTGGGAAATCCTTTTAGCTAACACACCCACTTCTCCACCTACCCATGCCTGAGAAGGAGCTCTCAGAGAGAGATGCCAGAGCCATGCTTGCCATGCTTAGGGCCATTAGCATGAAGGAAACGGGTCAAAATTTAGTCACTGATGTGTTCTCCCAGTGTTTCACTCCCAGAGCTGTCTCCTGGGCAAACTCCACCACTAACAGAAACCTGAGCATCCACAGCAATTTTTTTACCTGCAGAGGGCAGGGGAAGAGATGCTCCCGTCACTGAGAGGAGGCAGGGGGCTGTTTGAGGGATGACATATTACCTTATTTTCCTATTTAAAAAGCCTGTGTAAGTGTGCACAGCCAGGGAACACCAGAAGCAGCAAGCATAGCAAATACCTGTTTCACTTACATGCAGGTGGGTACTTGCATGATACTGTGACCATGTTCCCCTTCCCTGTATATGAAGAATATATGAACCTCGCTAGCTCCAAGATGGAGCTTGATAAGTTTATGAACAGTGTGACATAGCTTAATTGTCTGCTCTCACACAGGATTGGACTTCATGAGCCAGGATCCTTTCCAGGTTTCTGTGCTATGTCCTATCCTATATAGAGGGTCCATTAATCTTGCTAAGGCAGAGCAAGAGCCAATGTCTAGAAGATGAAATTAAAGACATTTGAATGGGAAATGAGGTGCAAGTTTTACCAACATGGGACACTGAGCCCCTGGAGCAGCTCCCATCAAGAGAGGATACGATGCCTCTATCTAAGAGCTGTGCTCCAACTCCAGCACAGGGGCTAGGCTGGAAGCTGGGATCCCTGGGTGAGGATCCTCAGCCTGTGCTCCACAGGAGGTCAGATAGGCAGGCCAGGATGAGCCCTGCTGGCCTGAACTTCAATGAACACCTTGCCAGTCCTTGTGGGGTCCATGGCAGTATTTGGAGCACCAGGGAAGCGGGCCCCCCACATGAGAGCCTGTCAAGTCCTGAGGATCTGCCCCTCTGCACACCCCATTCCCTGACAGTTCAGTCTTGGGTGTAAAAGAGAGTAATTGGGGCAAAGACTGAGCCTGTGATAAAATACACTGCGCCTTGTCTGTGATGCCTCATGCCTGCTGTGAGACAGGACTGCATCAAGCGCCCTGCACTCCTATCCTACTTGCAAGCAGCACTGGACCTCAATCCCAGGACAGCACCAAACCTTGGGCAGCTCAGAGAGAAGGTCAGGAGACAGAGATAAGGAGTGATACCAGAAACATAGGGATCTGGGGTGTCCATTGGATAAGAGGTGCCCACAGATATGCACTTGGTTTGTCCCACTTCCGCTTGCTACCACTGAATAGGAGTAAATTTGGCTGTACCAGGCACCAGCTGGGGTCAGGCAACTGCATGGTAGCAGAGACACTAGGGAAAGCTTAGCTAGACTGCACCTTGACTTTGAGTCTTTTTTCTTTTCAGGTCCCTTCAAGCCCTGCGATCACTTGTTTGAGAGCTGGGTCATCCGCCTGGGTGTCTGGGCCATTGTGCTGGTCTCAGTGCTCTGCAATGGGCTGGTTGTCTTAGCCATCTTCGCCTCACCTGGTTACCTCTCACCAGTCAAGTTTGTCATTGGCTCCATTGCTGGGGCTAACATGCTGACAGGCATTTACTGCAGTATGCTGGCCTTCGTTGATGCCCTGACATATGGGCAGTTTGCCAAGTACGGTGCCAGGTGGGAGACAGGTGTGGGCTGCAGGGTGACAGGGTTCATGTCCGTGTTTGCCTCAGAGACTGCCGTCCTCCTGCTGACTCTGGCTGCTGTGCAGTGTAGCATTTCAGTCTCTGGCATCCAAGCATATGGAAAGTCACCCTCCTTCAGCAGTGTCAAGGCAGCTGCCCTGTGCTGCCTGGTGCTGGCTTCTATGGCTGCAGCACTGCCTCTCTTCTCTGTTGGCGAATATGGAGCATCTCCTCTCTGCCTCCCATATCCCATCCCAGATGGGAAATCTTCAACTTTAGGCTTCATGGTGGCCCTGGTAATGATGAACACACTCTGCTTCCTGATCATCACTGGCACCTACATCTGGCTCTACTGCAACTTACTCAAAGGGGAGCTTGACACCATCTGGGACTGTGCTATGATCAAGCACGTAGCCTGGTTGATCTTCACCAACTGCCTCCTCTACTGCCCGGTGGCCTTTCTCACCTTCTCCTCCATGCTCAACCTCTTCCTCATCACTCCTGAGGTCATCAAATCTGTCCTGCTAGTGGTGCTGCCCTTGCCAGCCTGCCTGAACCCCCTGCTTTACCTGCTCTTCAATCCCCACTTCAGAGATGACCTGCGCCTGCTGAGACAAAAAGGCCAGGGCAAGGAAAGATGCTCCCAGTCCTACGCCTCCGATGACATGGAGAAGAGCTCGTATGACTCAACCCAAGCTCTAGTGACCTTCTCTGATATGGATCATATGTTTGAGGCTCCTGACACCCTCAGCGTGCACCCCATTCTGGAGACGTACAGTTTCCCCTCCATGACTCTCATCCCCTGTCAGCAAAGGATGGGTGCCAGAGGAAAAGAGAGAAGCTACTCAGCCCACCATCCCTGCCTGAATGATGATGAACTGTTAATTGCCTCAGAAAGCAGAGACCCAGCCAGCAGCAGTCTCCGGATAGACTTCTTCCCCTCCCCACCCACGTCATCCTATACCTCTCACTTATAAACCACAAAGTGGCCATGCAAAGCAGCCCCCTGCCTGAAGAACTGAGAAGGAGCCCCAGCATGGGGCAGCCAGCAGGGCAGGAGACAGGCTGCTTCACATAAGGTATCAATACACCCCACCGTCACATAACTGTTGTTAGCACCACCATGGTAAGCCTGACATTGCACATAGAAGGGCCCTGTATGAGCTGCCATGCCAGAGGCTCAAGGGCTTTGAGACTGAGCCTCCTGCATGAGTGTAAAAGGAATCACCCTTCCCCTTGCTTGCAAATGCATGGGGGAACCCACTAGCAAAGGGCATGGGTCACAGAAACTTTCCTCCCAGGGGTGCCCCAGTCATGGCCATAGCATGACAAGGCAGAGAAAGCATCTAAGGAGAGCATAAATGTGTGGCAAAGAGCCCAGACATGTCCCCAAGGGAATGGTAGAGTAGGAGCTCTCCAGAGACAAGAGGCAGTGCCATGGCCACAGACCTTGCCCTTCCGGGGCTATGCTGCCCTCCAATACAGTGCCTACCCATACCAACTTTGACAGGGCAGCTCTGAAGCTAGCCCAGCACTCTGTCCTAATTGCCAAGTCCTCTGGTAGAAGTGTCCTGGGAGAGGAAGGGTGAGGGTACAGAAGAGCCAACAAGTGGGAGGGAAGTGGCAGTAGACAGACACTGCAGCTGCACGGCAGTAGTGGGATGGAACCGAGGCCATTGCATGTTGTATAATTCATGTGCTCAACACTTCACAGTGCCCCAGGAGCCTGGTCACTACCTTCCCCATTGCACAGGCAGGAAGTCCAAGACTGATCATGCAAATAGGTTTGGTTTTGTTTTTTTAAATAGCTGCAGTGCTTCATTTCCTCCATTTTGGGAGCACAGTTTGGGATACCTGGAAGTCAGACCAGTGGTGAATGCCCCCAAAACAGAGGTAGACAAATCCAAGAGACGTGGCTTTAGAGACATGGCTGTGTGTGCCTTGTCCAGAGGACCACAGCAAGTCACCTGGGAGCCAGTACTGGAACTTAGGACTCCATGTCCCATGGGCAACACCCCAGACCAAGCTGCCTCCATACTCTAGAGCCAGATTGATATGGGGATTTTGCTGAGAGCTACAAGGTATTGGGTCAGTGTAAAGGAAATAATACTAAAGGAATAGACTACTCCCAACCTGTGCCCTTGTCACCCCAGCACCTCCCACCTGAGAGAAGTTTTCAGTGCCAGGTTTCTTGTCCTCCATGCACAACGGCAGGACAGGAGGATGCGTTTCTCCTTCCCTCCCTGCTGAGCAACAAATTTGGAAGCAATGGGGGTGTGGGAATGGCGAGCAACAGAGTAGAACGACCAAGTCAGGAGGCTTCTGGGAACATTTACAGATCGGCTCACTGAAGCTCAAGGACCTCCCTGAAACTAAGCATGCTGGCCCAGCAGTGCTCCTTCCTGTTGGCACAAAGCCTGCAAGGCACCTGTGGCCACAGCCCATTCAGAGGCCACAGGCTCTGGTCCTGTTGACATTGTAGCAGATGTACTTAATCCCTTCCCAGTTAACAAGTGAGCCTCTGATGGTGACCTTGTGCATCAAAAGGCAGCTACCTTAGTAGCTCCTTGGACAGGCTTGTTTCCCTGCTTCACTCAGTTATAACCACCCCAAAGTTAACAGGGAGATACAAGGTAAAGGATAGAGCCTGTAGCTGCAGTCAGTGCTGCTAGAAGAATCTTTTGTATACAGTCCAGGGGGAGAAACCTGTCCCTGATCCACTGGGACTTGTGGTTTATGTAAGCTTTTCTCCCTAAAGCTGGTCCCCTACAGAGAGGACGATGGGCATTTGCTGTGTTGATGTCCAATGATATGCCCCTTCGGGGAGAAACTCATCCTGGGGCAAAGCCCTTCCTAAGGCACATGTTGAGGAGTTACGTCTGTGTTTCTTCAGGCACCAGGAATGCAGCTCTGGTGTGGATTGGCGATAGTGATGGCACATGTCAGAACTCAAACCCACCCCCCAGATCCAGACCCGGCCAATCTAGCTTTCCCATGTAAATCTGCTCCCTCCTGAGCAACTTCTCCCATCAGGGCTCTTCCTATGACTTTGCTCTTGCTAAACTCCCATTGATTTCAGCCAGGATCTGCCCAAGTAACTCCTGCAGGATCAGGCCCATTCTTATTTAGATGTACAACATAGTCCAAAACCCAGTCCCGACAGCTGGGAAGGCGAACGGCATAGGGAGGGAGTTTTTCAGTTCTTTGGAGATGGAGAAGGAAGGTAGCTGGGGAGCATGAGTAGGGAAACCTGTACTACCTGCTTCTTGAGCAAACAGCCTTCTGCCAGGTCACAGAGCACAACTTGCATCCCCCCTTTGCAAAGAGGTGAGAGGACATGGCTTCATCCCAGCTCCATTCAGTACAACTGCCCACCCCAGCCCCCTCCTTGCTGGTCAAACTGCCCAAAGGACACTGGTATCTGGATGACTATGCTCCAGTGACCCCTCCCTCCACCCCCCAGCTACAGCAGAAGGAAAGATATGTGATTACTACACAAGTATAGGGGATTGGAGAATGAAGGTATGAAGTAGAAAGCGGGTGGAAGATACTTGGGGGGGAAGGTCAGGAGACAAGTCAAAGAGGACCCTTGATAGCAGACCTGAAAAACAAGTGAAGAGGAAGAGCTTGTAGGAAAAGCAGGAGAAAGATAATAAAGGGACCATGTCCATGGGGCATTTTCACTCAGTAATACTAAGCTGCCCAAAATCTGTGTTGGGAAGGGCAACATATACATGAAATGAACAGTAAATAAATAGTGAAGAAGGGACCGCACTCATTTGGGGATACGTGACAGAGACTGGGAAGGTGTGAGAACAGGCCTGTTTCCCCACATGGGCACTAGGGCTGTGCGAAGCTTCGGGTGGTGTTTTGATTTGGAGGAGATTTGGCCTGATTCGGTGGCCAAATGCAAATCGAATCCAGGGACCAATTAAAAGGTCCAAATTGATTCAAAGCTCTCCGAATCTTCAGCAAAGATTCGGAAAGCTTCAATGATTTGGGCAGTCCCTGGTGGCTACGGCAGGGAGCTGCAGCTGACTCCGAGCTGGTAAGTACCAGGGGCGGGTGAGGGGACCATGGGGGGACCCC